TATCCTGAAAATGTCAGAAAAGGTTGTGAGCAAAGATTCCAGACCCTTTGGCCCACCTGCCTTCATAAATACCACAAACATGTAAGGTCATCTCAGACAGCCACGCATGACAGAGGAGCATGTAAGTCAGCGCATTCCTTAAAAGGCTGCTGATAAAGCTCTCAGTCAACTAAATAGCTCCTAATAGTCGACACTCCAGTCTGCCTGGGGCGTCTGTGATACATAGCTTCAAAACATCTCATAACACAACAGTGTCCTTAGGAACGGTCTGCTCTGCATGGTGATCCAATCAGGGAACTGATTCATGTCTGCAAATACAGACATCTCTGCACCCTCCCCTCCTCAGGACAACCTTTTGGAGTATACCAACATGCCATACACAGCTAATAATCTTAAATCACATAATATAGAGTGACTGAATTTGACTGAACTTGAAGGAATGCAGCTTGCTACATAAGGTGATTTCCCAGTCAAAAACTCCTGTTCTAGAAATAGGACAGACATACCACACTGGGGAGAGGATTGACCAGACCCCCAAAGGAGTGTTGATAGACAGCTTGATAGTGATGATAATTGTAACATCTGTCAGCTATGGGCTCTCAGAGAGATCATTAGAGTATACTGAACAGTACAAGTTATTTGGCTGGCGGCGATGGGACCAGCATCATCATGAAAATAACTCAGAGAATATCCCATATCAGACCAGAAGTTTCAGAGTGGCCTCTGCTCAAGACATCTGCCCCTTAGATGAAGGGCTAAATTCAATCTTCATTTTCCAGGCCAAAGAGGCCATATTTATCTAGCTCCATGTAATATTCACAGAACTTATCAAATAAATGGAATTCCATTCCCTGTCCCCCGACCATTACGTGTCTTGTCTGTTTTTCCTGCTCTGTCATCTCCCATGTTGTGTCTTCTGTGGGACCAATGCTTGGGACTGGGGCCATTAGACATAGCTGGAATATCTTATGATGAACTTTCCCACAAAATTATCTCTTCTTTAGCTCACTTTCCAGACGCCTCTTTTAGTTGCTGCAACAGTAAATAAGCATAGTAAATTCATGAAGAAATCAGCTTATATCCCAACCTCATATTTTACTGCTAGTGAGACAACAAGTGAATATTGCACTAATGAGTCTAATATAGCAGACTACTAAAGGTCAAGTCTATTGTTTTACTGAGAGCTAATCATTCTCTTCCTTACAGTGATCTTTGAACAAACCATTTCCAGATTGTATTCCAACGTAATGTCAGATCTTTAAAAAGTGACCTTTCAGTTTCCCGGCAATGAAAATATCAAATATTGTCTGCATCCTGTCTTTCTTGCTGTAAAGCGTCTACATGTAATGCACAATGGCCTTGGAAGCTTCAATCATCAAGCTGTGCAGTTCTTTGGAGATCTAGGTTTATACTGATGGGTTACGTACGTTGAAATAACATAGGAAGTAAAGGGTCTGTTATGGGACCTTGTCCCCGAGTATGAGACAGATTTACCTGTGACAGTGGTCTGGACAGTCTGTGACTAGACGTCTTCTCTTCTGGAGACCACGAACGCAGCTGGATGCTATGAAATGACAGAGAAAGATTACACTGATAATGGTGTGGGTCATCTCATCCTAAATAACCATAATGGTCTCAATCGAAATACTTCACTTGACCAAAATGTAATAAAAAGTGCTTCAAAACGTCTATCATAAACATGGCATAACACTTCTCGTTACCTTTCATATTAATTCATAAAAATGTGTGTGTTTAGGGTCATGGGATCATATTTACTAGGTCTCCAGATTACTAGGACAGGAATAGATAAGGATAGCCAAACAGCCCTATAAATGTTTTACATTGACATTTTAGTCATTTAGCAGACACTCTTACCCAGAGCAACTTAGTGTGTTCATCTTAAGATAGCTAGGTGGGACACCCAATGACACCCACATATCACAGTGATAGGAAGTACATTTTTCCTCAATAAAGTAGCTATCAGCAAAGTCAGTGCTAGTAGTGTGTTCGTTCACAAAAGGCTTTTTACATTTATTTTAGGGTGAGGGGGGATGCGGGGGGGTGCTTCGGGAATATTTAAGATACTCTTTGAAGAGGTATGTTTTCAGATGTTTTCAAAAGATGGGCAGGGACTCTGCTATCCTAGATTCAGGGGGAAGCTCGTTCCACCATTGGGGTGCCAGGACAGAGAAGAGCTTGGACTGGGCTGAGCGGGAGGGCCAAGAGACCAGAGGTGGCAGAACGGATGCTCGGGTTGGGGTGTAGGGTTTGAGCACAGCCTGAAGGTAGGGAGGGGCAGTTCCTCTTGCTGCTCCGTAGGCAAGTACCATGGTCTTGCAGTGGATGCGAGTTTCGACTGGAAGCCAGTGGAGTGTGTGGAAGAGCGGGGTCACATGTGAGAATTTGGGAAGGTTGAACACCAGGCAGGCTGCAGCGTTCTGGATAAGTTGCAGGGGTTTGATGGCACAAGCGGGGAGCCCAGCCAACAGCGTGTTGCAGTAATCCAGACAAGTACCTGGATTAGGACCTGCATTGCTTCCTGTGTGAGGTAGGGTCGTACTCTACGGATGTTGTAGAGAATGAACCTGCAAGAGCGAGTCAATGCTTAGATTTTGCAGAGAACGACAGGGTGTTGTCCAGGGTCACAATGATGGAGAGGTCTTGGAGCGGGCTGGCCTTCCCGGGAGGAAGAGCAGCTCCGTCTTGTCGAGGTTTAGCTTGAGGTGGTGTGCCGACATCCAAGTTGAGATATCTGCCAGGCACGCAGAGATGCATGTCGCAACCTGGGTGTCAGAAGGGAGGAAGGAGAAAAGTAGTTGCATGTCATCCGCATGGCAATGATAGGAGAGACCATGTGAGGATATGACTTGGTGTATAGAGAGAAGAGGAGAGGGCCTAGAACCGAGCCCTGGGGAACACCAGTAGTTAGAGTACGTGATGCAGACACAGATCCTCTCTACGTCACCTGGTAGGAGCGGCCTGCCAGGTAGGATGCAATCCAAGAGTGTGCATAGCCTGAAACGCCCAGCCCTGAGAGGGTGAAGAGGAGGATCTGATGGTTCACCGTGTTGAAGGCAGTGGATAGATCTGGGAGGATGAGAACAGAGGAGAGAGTCAGCTTTGGCAGTGCAGAGAGCCTCCATGACACAGAAAAGAGCAGTCTTAGTTGAGTGACCCGTCTTGAAGCCTGACTGGTTAGGGTCAAGAAGATAATTCTGACAGAGATAGTGAGAGAGTCTGTAGTTTATGACGTCAGAGGAGTCAAGTGTTGGTTTCTTGAGCGGGGGAGCGGCTCAGGCCATTTTGAAGTCAGAGGGGACGCAGACAGTGGTCAGGGATGAGTTGATGATGGAAGTGAGGAATGGGAGAAGGTCTCCAGAGATGGTCTGGAGAAGGGAGGAGGGGATGGGGTCGAGCGGACAGGTTGTCAGTGGCCGGACCTCACTAGTCGCAGGATTTCATTTGGAGAGAGGGGGAAGAAAGAGGTCAAGGCGTAGGGTAGTTCGACAGGCATTCGATTGACCCAGAGCAAAATAAGGTTTGAACTGTGACCTAGAAAGTGACTCAGGAGAATAGCAGCTAGGCCTACAGACAGAGCAGAGCAGAGTGGTGAATGTTCCACAGCCTGGCCCTTTGTTGCTGTGAATGAACATGGGGGAATGTGATATGCTGTGCACATCCTTTGTTACTACCACACAATCCCATGGCTCCATTTTCTGCCAGTTACTCTTGTACCTATTCACTCTGGTCCTGTGTAGAATGCAAAAATGCTCTAGTAGTCTACCCTACCCCCATCTCCAACCCCAACTTAACTAAAAGCACCTGGATAACTGTGGTAACCTACTGACTATCCAGTCAGGTATTCACTCTTTTATTCTCAAGCAACACATGCATGTCCTGGTCCTTTAGAGAGAGATCAGATTGCGGTGATGGTGGATGCTGTAGTGTACCTCTTGGTGCTGGTGGGTGTGAGCCTCTCTCTCTTCCCCTCAGGACTGGACGGGGCCTCTGGGGAGTAGGGTCCAGGTGACAGGGAGGCTGGGCTGGAGATGGAGTACTCTCTGTAGTTCTGGTTCTCATCTCGACTCACCAGCACCGCCTCCTACAACAGAACAGGGCATAACAGACAGTCTGCATGATCAAAACATTTAATATATTTATCCACACACAAAACTGTGACAAACTGCTTATCCATATTCCTAAAATTACTTGTCTTGCAAGCATGTTTAAGAAATTGATTCACGATGTAACTAAAATATTTGTCTCCTTGCACTTTTAGTGGGTGCTCAGAAGCAATTGACAAGGAGGCATTTGAGATATATGCTTCATAAAACTCTTCAAAAAGAGGGCAATACACGTCAAGGTATAATGTACAGTCATGTTAGAGCTGCACATCCTGAGGTAAGTGAAACCAGGTTTGTGGAAATCAGATATGTAATATCCCCATGTTAGAATGATGACAGTCAGTGTTCTTTCCTAGCATTCAGCCTTGGGCCCTGCATGGGCTCATTTTCTGCCAGTGATACCACGGACACCCAGCAGTAGTTCTGTCGCCCTATAAAACACAGGAACATCAGCTGATTTACAGCATCCTCTGGTTCCTCTCCCATGTTTCCACTGTCCCAGGGCCACAGAGTTATCCTAGAGTTATGGAATATCTCTTCAGTCACACTAGGACGTCTCATTCCAGCTCATCTGGACCTCTAATAAATCCTTGATAAGCAGACACCCCGCAATCTGTGAATATGAAGCAGACCCAGCGTCTGCATGGCTCTCAGGCATCAGCCATTAAACAAACCATTAGGACAGGAATCATCATGTAGAGATATGATGCTGATGTAACAAGATACTAGAGGATACTGGGATAAAAACTGTAGGAAAGAATACCTCCATAGGTCACTCAATGAAGGCATCCATCATATGCCCATCAACAAAGTACTGATTCACAAATTAAGTGTTTAAATCACATTACAGTGAAACTGTTCAGCATGAAAGCTGTCCTAAAGGGAATTTACAGACCAAAGATGGAAGCTCCTGCATAAGGAGATAGATAGAGAGCATGAGTGACTGACCTGGAAGCGTCCAGTGAGCTGTTCTGGGGTGGTGGTTCCGTTGGTCTGTTCAGGGCTGGGCGGCTCAGGCCTGTAGAAAGAGACACACTGGAGGTTCATGGACCACACACGGACAAACGTGTACCTCACCTGTAATCAAGCAGGAGAATGGTCGCCACCTCCAAGGAGAGGGCAAGACTGGCCCAGTAGAGTAACACGGTCTTCAGTACCACATAATTCACCTAACTATGTCAAGCCCTAAACAAATACTCAAAACCATGATTGGTTAAAATCAGTTGTTGAAAGCATAAATTATTAAGAAAGCTTGCAGACATCACTGCATTAAAGGATACAAGCCAAAACCCCACATTAGACCAAGCTGTACTTCAAAAGACATGGACCAAGGTCAACTAAAGTAATTTACACCAATGATTCTAATCAGGTTCTTTAGATGACTTGAGCCATGTCAAAGTATTCCCTACATGATAGCCTGGAAGGATCTGATAACATTTTCTGTAATGTCTCATATTATTCATTAACGTGTTGAGTAGAATGGTCTGATTTGATTTGGCTATATCACTATACACAGTGAAAGAGTTGGAAAGATGAGGCTCTGCTGGGAGAATCATGTTAAAGAGCTTGAGAATAATTTTTGAAGGTTCTATTTGAATCAAAACTACATACCAGTGGTTGCACTGACAGTACTTTGGCATAGGGGAAACCAAAATAAGGTGTCTGATTGAAAGATTCTTTAGATTTTTGCCAGTGTGCACTTACACATCGGCACATACTCACTCTCAGGTTCAGTCTCATTGTTAGATCTCTTGTGACATAATATGCACATACACTGTTCAATTCAGATATTATGTGAGTGCCGGAGGACATGTGTGTGTGGTGTGTGTGTCTGTGTCTGTGTGTGTGTGTATGTGTATGTGTGTGTGTGTGTATTATGTCACAAGAGATCTAAGAGTGAGACTGAAAACCTGAGAGTGAGTATGCACCGATGTGTAAGTGCACACTGGCAAAAGTCAAAATAATCTTCAAATCAGACACCTTATTTTGGTTCCCCTATGCCAAAGTACTGTCAGTACAACCTCTGGTATCTCAAGAGAACCTTCAAAACAATTCTCAAGCTCTTTAACATGATTCTCCTAGCAGAGCCTCATCTTTCAAGCTCTTTCACTGTGCTCACTTCAATAAAACATATACCCAGTTCTGAGTGGAACATTTTGGACTGTACGACCAAATGTAAACAACTAGTGCCCCCCTCACTGTAGGGATGTAGGACTGCCTGCATCTCCTCTCAGCTGAGCCTCAGTCCAGGGTAATGAGGCGCACAGGAAGGCCCTGGATGCCTGTGGTAAATCGCCCAGAAACACACCTCTAACAGCCCAGACCTTGGCCCTGCTGTACAGTATCTGAGTATTCCACATGTGCAGCAGGGGCACATCCAACCAGAAGAATGGCTGGAAGAGGAAAACAGGCTCCTCGTGCTACAGCAGTGAGAAGATGTGAAACTTAATGGATAAAACAGAACATAATGGATGGTTAATTGGGGTGAATAAATAAGTTCCCTGTAAGGAAATGCCTTTGTGTTTTCACTTGGAATTCTCAAAACGTTTTTAAAGAAAAAGGTTCAGATGAAAGTTCAATTTCCGCTATGTGTATCCAGTTCAGCTCCTCTGGTTGAGAGAGATGAGGATAAAGTTAACTTGTGTCCTTCAGACAATGAGAGGCATACAAGGTTAACTGCTAGGCCTTATGTAATGTGACCTGTAATCTAACCTCTGCCACAGGCCTCATGTACAGCAGTAGATGGAAGGATGAGCACAGGCTGAGAGGAGTGGCTGTCGTCATAAAACACGGAGAGGTGAAGATGCTTGTCTCTCCTCTAGAGAGCTGTCTGATCCCTGCATGGAACAGGGACGTAACATCACTGATCAGCAAAGGAACAGTATGTTGATCTTTGTCATATTTGGGACTTGGAGTTTGCCTGCCAGGCATTCTTCAGTTAGAATAGATTGCATAGATTCCTATCTGTCTGCCCTCTGAACTTCAGATTAATTATGAAAACAAACAGAGCAGATGAATAGAAGGGAACAGTGATAATCCAGTGAACTACTAGGATAAACATACCACTGTCTTGTCTTATAGCTATCTTGAATTCAATTCAAACACTGTTCACATAGACCAAGGAATGTCACTTCTCACTTGTACAGTATGCACAGACTTGAGACTTTGGATGTGGTGCCAAAGATTAGAAAGAAACATGACTGTATAGGGCTGCCTATATACAGTGGGGGAAAAAAGTATTTAGTCAGCCACCAATTGTGCAAGTTCTCCCACTTAAAAAGATGAGAGGCCTGTAATTTTCATCATAGGTACACGTCAACTATGACAGACAAATTGAGAAAAAAATTTCCAGAAAATCACATTGTAGGATTTTTAATGAATTTATTTGCAAATTATGGTGGAAAATAAGTATTTGGTCACCTACAAATAAGCAAGATTTCTGGCTCTCACAGACCTGTAACTTCTTCTTTAAGAGGCTCCTCTGTCCTCCACTCGTTACCTGTATTAATGGCACCTGTTTGAACTTGTTATCAGTATAAAAGACACCTGTCCACAACCTCAAACAGTCACACTCCAAACTCCACTATGGCCAAGACCAAAGAGCTGTCAAAGGACACCAGAAACAAAATTGTAGACCTGCACCAGGCTGGGAAGACTGAATCTGCAATAGGTAAGCAGCTTGGTTTGAAGAAATCAACTGTGGGAGCAATTATTAGGAAATGGAAGACATTCAAGACCACTGATAATCTCCCTCGATCTGTGGCTCCACGCAAGATCTCACCCCAAAATGATCACAAGAACGGTGAGCAAAAATCCCAGAACCACACGGGGGGGGACCTAGTGAATGACCTGCAGAGAGCTGGGACCAAAGTAACAAAGCCTACCATCAGTAACACACTACGCCGCCAGGGACTCAAATCCTGCAGTGCCAGACGTGTCCCCCTGCTTAAGCCAGTACATGTCCAGGCCCGTCTGAAGAGTGCATTTGGATGATCCAGAAGAGGATTGGGAGAATGTCATATGGTCAGATGAAACCAAAATAGAACTTTTTGGTAAAAACTCAACTCGTCGTGTTTGGAGGACAAAGAATGCTGAGTTGCATCCACAGAACACCATACCTACTGTGAAGCATTGGGGGTGGAAACATCATGCTTTGGGGCTGTTTTTCTGCAAAGGGACCAGGACGACTGATCCGTGTAAAGGAAAGAATGAATGGGGCCATGTATCGTGAGATTTTGAGTGAAAACCTCCTTCCATCAGCAAGGGCATTGAAGATGAAACGTGGCTGGGTCTTTCAGCATGACAATGATCCCAAACACACCGCCCGGGCAACGAAGGAGTGGCTTCGTAAGAAGCATTTCAAGGTCCTGGAGTGGCCTAGCCAGTCTCCAGATCTCAACCCCATAGAAAATCTTTGGAGGGAGTTGAAAGTCCGTGTTGCCCAGCGACAGCCCCAAAACATCACTGCTCTAGAGGAGATCTGCATGGAGGAATGGGCCAAAATACCAGCAACAGTGTGTGAAAACCTTGTGAAGACTTACAGAAAACATTTGACCTGTGTCATTGCCAACAAAGGGTATATAACAAAGTATTGAGAAACTTTTGTTATTGACCAAATACTTATTTTCCACCATAATTTGCAAATAAATTCATTAAAAATCCTACAATGTGATTTCCTGGATTTTTTTTCTCATTTTGTCTGTCATAGTTGACGTGTACCTATGATGAAAATTACAGGCCTCTCTCATCTTTTTAAGTGGGAGAACTTGCACAATTGGTGGCTGACTAAATACTTTTTTCCCCCACTGTAGTAGCCTATAGAAGAGCCTTCGGGCAATATTCCGATGCCCATCTGCAGTTGCAGCTGCTCAGTAACATCACATTACAAGGACCAATAAGATCAGAGGGACATGACATCATGCACAAATGGTCAGTGAACAATGGATTCATTAAAAGGCAGCTGAGGACAATGGAGGATAAATGACAGAGTATGAATGACAAGATACTGCTGGTGTTTTTTTCTATATTGTCACAGTAAAATCTCCACTGAGCTGCAGATATCAATCTGGAATCAAAACGTACCTCAAAGAGTGCACAAGTCTGGTTATTGCATGTCTGGGTTTTTGGTGGGTTGAGCACTGGCAAGTGTATCTGCACTGGAGCAGTTCCTCAGTTTAAGACAGGCACGCCTTAACCAACACTCCTATTCTAAGGGTGGACTGATGCCAAACTCTGCCCATGGGCAAACCCAGCTGTAATCCAGCCGCTGTGATCTGCAGGGCTGTAAACCCATTTACCAGGTTCCTCTCTTATTCTTCAGATCATCAGACATTACACTGCACAATTTGTGTGTAGTTTTCATGATGCTTCATGGGAGTTAATTTACTGTTAAGAACAACACATTGCATAATGCTGCAGGTGGACCAACAAGGGGCCACATTCTGTAGTTGATTTGAGGTGGCTAGAGAGGTGCTGGACTAGGATTGATAAGAGAGACACGGTACTGCCTGCCATCTAAAGACAGTAGGGCCTTGATAGTGCAAACCACCCTTCACTACCTTACCCATCCTGTTTGCCTCTGCCAGTAGAACAGTGGGTTTAGGGGCAGAGTGGCTGGCGGAGCTACAGAGTGCCATTGTCCTGGGTAGCCAGGGTGTCACAGTGTTGTTTCTGGCTCGGAAGGAGACATGAGGTCAGCAGGGAAAAATCCACTCACATGGACCTGGGGCATGCAAAGAGGAAGCGTGCGTGTGTGTATGTGTGTGAAGAAATGAGAATTCACTGAGAGAGAGGCAGAGACAGAAAGACAGAGACAGAGCAAGAACTCGCCAGCCAAGAGCCTCCTTTCACAGGAAAAAGTCCAATGTGGAGCCAATTCTCTGCCACCCTAAAAAGGTCTCAGATAACTTTCAAACGTTTATTAACATGTGAAATGAAACAAACAGTTCATCTTGGCAAGATAATTCTGACACATTCTGGTATTCACCCAGAATGAAGCCACTGGTCCTTTGTAGGGAGAGAGAGATGGGACATCTTAAGACGTTAACAACAAACACCAGAAAAGTGGACAGTGGGGAAGTGGGAGGGAGGATGTGGCGACTGTGGAACTGGCACAAATACAAGCAATCAGCAGATCTAAGCTGACCAGAGAGCACAGATGTGGTCTGTATGCCACGGTGTGGTGCCCCATCTCAGTGGCGACCCGTCATTCAGGGCAGGTGGGGCAGAGCACCACCTGTTTTGAGCCCCACCCAACCTATAGATATATAAATAAACGGCCTGTTTTGCATGTTATTTTGGCATTCATTTGTATTACATATCAGTTTTCAAACAATGTAAAAATATATCCTTCAGTTAATAAAGCCTCATACTCTGTTTTTTGCTTTCTTGAGTAAGGCAGCTCCAAAATACAGGTGTTTCAGCCTAGCTCAGTGCTTTCTGTGGTGGAGGGGCAGCCAGCGAAAGCAGAGCGTAGGCGTTGGTAATCTTCTCTAGTTGCGCCGTGATTGGCTCAGTGTTCGGTCACTGATGGGGACACTACATCACCGCAGAATCTACAGGGAAAGCTTGGCAGTTCAAGCCCCCTTGGGTGCTGCCATAAATGTACATTAGAAGTGCCCGTCCAAGAAGGCTCAAGGTAATTGGCCACAGATAAAATGACATCAAATCACGTTATATCTACCGTAGCTTTGATTGGACTGATCATGCCAACATCATACTTTCTAAATCTATCACCGCAGAATCTACAGGGAGAGCTTGGCAGTTCAAGCACCCTTGGGTGCTGCCATAGATTTACATTAGAAGTGCCCGTCCAAGAAGGCTCAAGGTAATTGGCCACAGATAAAATGACATCAAATCACGTTATATCTACCGTAGCTTTGATTGGACTGATCATGTCAACATCATATTTTCTAAATCTTAGCTAGCAAGCTAGCTAGCTAGCCAAACAAGCAGTCATCATCATGAATCATGTCAACAATCTACTGACAATCCTTGTCATATGAAGAGAAATTATAGATAAAACGTATCGGTGCACATCGACCATTGGACATCAACATTACAAAACAAGTTGGAAATCGCAAATACAACAATTAGTGGTTTGGAAGGAATCAATGGCTAACTGCAAGCATTGCAAAGCAATCACTATTTTGCTGCCCCTGCCTGCTATTCGGTGGATAGGGTGTGTGGTCCAAGTCTGGGTTTAAGGATTTAAAACATCTGTCTGAAAGGGTCTCTTTTCCAAGCTTAAAAGGATAAACATTCACAGGCAACACCATGGGCCAGAAAAGGTTGAATATATTGGGCATGCGGTCAATCCTGCGTGATTTTTTTGTTTTTTTGTCATTTAGCAGATGCTCTTATCCAGAGCGACTTACAAGAGCAAGTAGGGTTAAGTGCCTTGCTCAAGTGCACATCCACATAATTTTCACCTAGTCAGCTTGGGGATTCGACCAGCGACCTTTCGGTTACTGGCCCAACGCTCTTAACCGCTAGGCTACCTGCCGCCCTTCTGCCGCATTCAAAACAACTGGTTTCCCTCAAGAATTTCCCTGTATTTAGCGCCATCCATCATTCCTTCAATTCTGACCAGTTTCCCAGTCCCTGTCGATGAAAAACATCCACACAGCATGATGCTGCCACCACCATGCTTCACTGTGGGGATGGTGTTCTCGGGGTGATGAGAGGTGTTGGGTTTGCGCCAGACATAGCATTTTCCTTGATTGCCAAAAAGCTTAATTTTAGTGTCATCTGACCAGAGTACCTTCTTCCATATGTTTGGGGAGTCTCCCACATGCCTTTTGGCGAACACCAAACGTGTTTGCTTATTTTTTTCTTTAAGCAATGGCTTTTTTCTGGCCACTCTTCCGTAAAGCCCAGCTCTGTGGAGTGTACGGCTTAAAGTGGTGCTATGGACATATACTCCAATGTCCACTGTGGAGCGTTGCAGCTCCTTCAGGGTTATTTTTGGTCTCTTTGTTGCCTCTCTGATTAATGCCCTTGCCTGGGCCGTGAGTTTTGGTGGGCGGCCCTCTCTTGGCAGGTTTGTTGTGGTGGCATATTCTTTCCATTTTTTAATAATGGATTTAATGGTGCTCCGTGGGATGTTCAAAGTTTCTGATATTTTTTTATAACCACAACTTTGTCCCTGACCTGTTTGGAGAGCTCCTTAGTCTTCATGGTGCCGCTTGCTTGGTGGTGCCCCTTGCTTAGTGGTGTTGCAGGCCTTTCAGAACAGGTGTATATATACTGAGATCATGTGACAGATCATGTGACACTTAGATTGCACACAGGTGGACTTTATTTAACTAATTATGTGACTTCTGAAGGTAACTGGTTGCACCAGATCTTATTTAGGGGTTTCATAGCAAAGGGGGTGAATACACACACCACTTTTCCGTTATTTATTTTTTAGATTTTTTTTTGAACAAGTAATTTTTTTCATTTCACTTCGCCAATTTGGACTATTTTGTGTATGTCCATTACATGAAATCCAAATAAAAATCAATTTAAAATTACAGGTTGTAATGCAACAAAATAGGAAAAACACCAAGGGGGATGAATACTTTTGCAAGGCACTGTATATGCCCCCGTTATTATCCTATGGTTCTGACTTGGTGTGCAGGGAGAGTACTGTAAGAACGGCCCATGTTCTGAATTCTGTTGCTGTCCATTTCAAAAGTGCTGAATAAATAGGCATAGGCCTATCGACTACGTCCCTCTTAGCTCACTCATTGATGTCTTAATCAAAATTACGGCTTGCCTCTTATCCGCTCATCGTTCCCTTATGCCATAGTTTGTACATCTCCATTGTTATATTGCTTATATTGATCTATATAATGAGTATCTTTTTAATCATTTTAGACAATGTTGGAATTATGCATTTCATTGTTTTGTTTACTTTGTGCATTATAATTAGCTAATGTGCTTTTATTCACAGGGAGGGGATACTATTTAATGTTGTTGGGTCTGTAACCATGTTTGACAGTCTCTTCCCATTCAAATATATTTTTTCAACAAAAAGTTCAGTAATAGACCCATGTAATTCCAGTTGATATTGCGAGGGTTGTTTTGTTTGCACAATGCACTGTGTGCGTCGGTGTATTGTCTATAAAAGTGGATCCTCGTGATTTTATTTTCCTTCCTTTTTAGACCACATAGGCCTAATACAATTATTCAAATGGTAGGCTAACCGAGTCTCTTTCACTCTCTGTGTGATGACTTAAAGAAGAGAAAGTTGAGGCCTCAACATCTTGCTGAATTTATCTGAATTTCTGTCAGTGTCCTTTTAGAAAGTGCTGAACGAATAGGCCTACCTCATCGCAGCTCGTTTGCTTGTACTTGCTTATACCTAGAGCTAAGTGTTAATGATATAAGAATTTACTGAACATAAATGTAATAATGTTTGTATGGTTCAAAAGTCAAAACTCATGTCGGCATTCGTTATTATTGAAGGAAAATGCGGTTCTTATGGAGTTACACAAATCCACAAGGAGTCAGTAGAAACCATATTTATTTAAGCAAGTCAGCCATATCAGCTATGGTTTTTAAAAAAGGCAGTAAATTAGGCTGAATGAACTGTTTCGCTGTCAGATGAGGCTCTGCTGATAGCCAGGTGTAGCGGTGGTAAGGATTCACTTCGATTCACTCCATGGCGCTGAAAGGAAAGCTCTGCTGTCGGGACAGCTTTATGTAGGTCCTAATAGTTTGTGGCCAACGTTTGTCACCGTTATAGTGCAATTAATGTATTGTTTAGTGTTGTGTAGTGGATCTAAAAAAAAATGTTGAGTTTGCCCCACCAAGATTGACATGCTAAAATTGTCACTGCCCCATCTGATGTTTGGATGAGTGTGTTTCCATTGCCAACCTGTTGATTTATGCACTTTCTACAGAATAGAAAACATCTACACCAACATACAAATTAAAACATGTTAGACCGCATAGATACAGTACATCAGGATACATCTGTGCTCCTAAACTGTGCACTGTAGTGAACCCTACCTCTCCACCAGCAGCTGCAGCTGAGCCTTGGAGTTTTTTATCTTGTTCTGGGCCTCCACATTGAGCATGTCCACTGTGTTCTCTCCATTGATCTCCAGGATGACATCACCAGGCTGCAGTGCGGCCAGCTCGGCCTTGCTGCCCCCGTTGACCTGTGGGCCAGAGGTAAGAGCTGCAGTCAGACTCTCCCTACTGCCTGTGGACTAGGTGCAGACATGATGCTATCAGCAACGTAAAATAACCAGCAAGCCTGAACGAAATGCTGCATATTGAGTGTTGGACTTTTTGTCAAGGGCTTACAGATACACTGATGAACGGTCATTATGACAAGACAGTGAAGACAAGACAGTGATGATTGTAATAACATGAGACCAGTCTAGGTTATGTGGCTGTTGTGAAGAGATGGGTTGTTTTCCTCAGTTTGCCTGCCAGGTGTCAATCAGTTCTTATAGGGCTCTTGCTGGTGATTGTATTACATTTTGGTTGCAATAAACATCAACAGATACCACAGCTCTTCACACACATGGCACACCTCAACAGTGTGAGGATTCATGACACCCTGAGGGGAAAGTCATCAGTGAGACTGTGGGGTTGACTACTCTGGCCTGACCTTTGCCTCCAACCTCACCACATGCCAATGCCAATGGTCTACTGCCTGCATTGGGGGGAATTCCAGCCTAATGGAACAAAAACACACCAGCAACACACTCACTCAGTCTCTCTCAGGCACACACAAACACACAACCATACAAACAAAAAAAAACAAATGAGGAGTTTAACTCAGGATTATTGAGCACTTGTGAGCATGAGTTTTTACTCACCAATGTAACAACACAGTGTGGTCAAAGACTTAGCAACTTAGTTGTAGGTACGATCTGGTTACCTATAACTACAAACATAGTTATGTTTTAGCATTTTTTACATATTTATTAACTTATTTATGGATATATTGGAACTACCCACAATGCACTATTTCTCAACGTCATATGGAGAACTGGTGCTACCGAGCTAGTTCCAGCTGGCTAACGTTAGCTACTAGCCATGCTAGCATGTAAATACATTTAAAACCAAGTGTTTGCGCTGGTGAGCTACTATGTACATCCACAATAAAGAAACCATATACAGTGCCTTCGGAAAGTATTCAGACCCCTTGACTTTTTTCACATTTTGTTAGGTTACAGCCTTATTCTAAAATTGATTAAATATTTTTTTTTCCCTCATCGATCTACACTCCATAATGACAAAGCAAAAGCAGGTTTTTAGAAATGTTTGCTTCACCATAGGAATGGTGCCAGGATTCCTCCAGATGTGACGCTTGGCATTCAGGCCAAAGAGTTCAATCTTGGTTTCATCAGACCAGAGAATCTTCTCATGGTCTGACAGTCCTTTAGGTGCCTTTTGGCAAACTCCAAGCAGGCTGTTATGTGCCTTTTACTGAGGAGTGGTTTCTGTATGGCCACTCTACCATAAAGGCCTGATTGGTGGAGTGCTGCAGAGATGGTTGTCCTTCTGGAAGGTTCTCCCATCTCCACAGAGGAACTCAAGAGCTCTGTCAGAGTGACCATTGGGTTCTTGGTCACCTCCCTGACCAAGGCCCTTCTCCCCCGATTGCTCAAATTGGCCAGGCGGCCAGCTCTAGGAAGAATCTTGGTGGGTCCAAACTTCTTCCATTTAAGAATGATGGAGGTCACTGTGTTCTTGGGGTCCTTCAATGCTGCAGACATTTTTTGGTACCCTTCCCCAGATCTGTGCCTCGACACAATCCTATCTCGGAGCTCTACGGACAATTCCTTCGACCTCATGGCTTGGTGTTTGCTCTGACATGCACTGTCAACTGTGGGACCTTATATAGACAGGTGTGTGCCTTTCCAAATCATGTCCAATCAATTGAATTTACCACAGGTGGACTCCAATCAAGTTGTAGAAACATCTCAAGGATGATCAATGGAAACAGTATGCACCTGAGCTCAATTTCGAGTCTCATAGCAAAGGGTCTGAATACTTATGTAAATAAGGTATTTCTGGGTTTTTCAAAAATTTGCTAAAATGTACACTGCTCAAAAAAATTAAGGGAACCCTAAAATAACACATCCTAGATCTGAATGAATGAAATAATCTTATTAAATACTTTTTTCTTTACATAGTTGAATGTGCTGACAACAAAATCACACAAAAATTATCAATGGAAATCAAATGTATCAACCCATGGAGGTCTGGATTTGGAGTCACACTCAAAATTAAAGTGGAAAACCACACTACAGGCTGATCCAACTTTGATGTAATGTCCTTAAAACAAGTCAAAATGAGGCTCAGTAGTGTGTGTGGCCTCCACGTGCCTGTATGACCTCCCTACAACGCCTGGGCATGCTCCTGATGAGGTGGCGGATGGTCTCCTGAGGGATCTCCTCCCAGACCTGGACTAAAGCATCCGCCAACTCCTGGACAGTCTGTGGTGCAACGTGGCGTTGGTGGATGGAGCGAGACATGATGTCCCAGATGTGCTCAATGGATTCAGGTCTGGGGAACGGGCGGGCCAGTCCATAGCATCAATGCCTTCCTCTTGCAGGAACTGCTGACACACTCCAGCCACATGAGGTCTAGCATTGTCTTGCATTCGGAGGAACCCAGGGCCAACCGCACCAGCATATGGTCTCACAAGGGGTCTGAGGATCTCATCTCGGTACCTAATGGCAGTCAGGCTACCTCTGGCGAGCACATGGAGGGCTGTGCGGCCCCCCAAAGAAATGCCACCCCACACCATGACTGACCCACCGTCAAACCGGTCATGCTGGAGGATGTTGCAGGCAGCAGAACGTTCTCCACGGCGTCTCCAGACTTTGTCACGTCTGTCACATGCTCAGTGTGAACCTGCTTTCATCTGTGAAGAGCACAGGGCGCCAGTGGCGAATTTGCCAATCTTGGTGTTCTCTGGCAAATGCCAAACGTCCTGCACGGTGTTGGGCTGTAAGCACAACCCCCACCTGTGGACGTCGGGCCCTCATACCACCCTCATGGAGTCTGTTTCTGACCGTTTGAGCAGACATATGCACATTTGTGGCCTGCTGGAGGTCATTTTGCAGGGCTCCGACAGTGCTCCTCCTGCTCCTCCTTGCACAAAGGCGGAGGTAGCGGTCCTGCTGCTGGGTTGTTGCCCTCCTACGGCCTCCTCCACGTCTCCTGATGTACTGGCCTGTCTACTGGTAGCGTCTCCATGCTCTGGACACTACTCTGACAGACACAGCAAACCTTCTTGCCACAGCTCGCATTGATGTGCCATCCTGGATGAGCTGCACTACCTGAGCCACTTGTGTGGGTTGTAGGCTCCGTCTCATGCTACCACTAGAGTGAAAGCACCGCCAGCATTCAAAAGTGACCAAAACATCAGCCAGGAAGCATAGGAACTGAGAAGTGGTCTGTGGTCACCCCCTGCAGAACCACTCCTTTATTGGGGGTGTCTTGCTAATTGGCTATAATTTCCACCTGTTGTCTATTCCATTTGCACAACAGCATGTGACATTTATTGTCAATCAGTGTTGCTTCCTAAGTGGACAGTTTGATTTCACAGAAGTGTGATTGACTTGGAGTTACATTGTGTTGTTTAAGTGTTCCCTTTATTTTTTTGAGCAGTGTATGAAAACCTGTTTTTGCTTTGTCATTATCCGGTATTGTGTGTAGATTGCTGTGGATTTATTTTTATTTAATCCATTTTAGAATAAGACTGTAACATAACAAAATATGGAAAAGGTCAAGGGGTCTGAATACTTTCCGAAGGCACTGTAAATTCATGCGAAAAACTGCAACTCTTTTTCTCCTGTGTGTTTGGTAGTGGTAGTCGAATGAGCGAGTGAGTGTTGTGGTCGTTTTCCATCGTTTGTAGATAGTGCATTAATACCCACAAGGACAGGTTTACGACTAATTTGTGGCCCAATCCTTTGTGGCCCAAAAATGAGAAGCAAGCTTTGAAGTTCGGTTTGTCCCGTTGAAGCAAGCGGATTGGAGAATGGGAACTGTGCGCACGTCTACTGTACGCAGTGCTCATTTCACCCCGGAGGACTTCGATGGCTTAGTTTAACCAGTGGAAGGCAGGATTCAGAATGAGACTCTGATTAAACCCAGGTGCTGTGCGGAGCCTGCAACTTCTATTTTCAACCGACCTACTGGTAGATCGTGAGTGTCAGCAGTGATGGAGATAAACCGGTTAATTCAATGTGGATTTACCTCACTATATCGCTATTGGATTAGCTAGCTGATTCTCCCTCTGAAGGAGGGTTAGCTAATTCACGCGTCAATCGGTAAGTCTCCGCTCTCTCTACTTTATGTCACTGGCTTTTTATTAATTTTTTTGTTCTGTCGCTCCCTGCCTATGCTAGACTAGTTGTTCTCTGGCTTCCTACTTAGCTATGTAGACTGTGGTGGTTGGCTAGTTAGCTGGCTAGGCTAGCTAGCAGGATAACATAATTAACTTTAGCTGGCTGGCTAAGATAATTGCATATACCGGTAACATTATTTGGTTAGATGGCGTTATGTATTTCCAAAACTTTGATTTACTTTAATGTAGCTGTAAACTAGGTGTTGATAGCAACTGGCTGACTCACGCAGTGCTAACGTAGCATTAGCAGGCTATTAGGGCTAACATTAACAGGCTAGTTGGCTAGCAACTTAGCAAGCTAATTTGTAACAACACATTCTTAAAGTATGTGCTTGAAAGTTGGCAGAAATGTAATTGAAACCAGCAATCGATTTGGTTTAATTTGAAGTTATACACTTGAAGTTATTTGTGTTGGAGTTTACATTACAGCGAATAGGCTGGCTTGCCGGTTCCTCAATAACGTGTCCAAATGATTTTCCAGCATGACTTCAGCATTCTTCGGAATTCTGATCAACTCGAAAATAGAAAAGTGAGGTATAACTTTGCATTGGGACTTTTGATATGTATTCTAATGCAAAACCATTTGTTTCATGAGGTTACGTTTATGATAACTACCCTTTAAGAGCAGCATCAACAAGGCTGGCCCAATTTAAAAACAGAAAGAGGAAAAATAAAAAAGACACACAAAGACACAATCAGTGAAGATGAAGAGGTCTCCTTCATACATCTCCAACAAAAACATGGCAGATTGCGGAGAGAATGCCAGGCAACAAGGTGTTTGTCCGTTTTGCAAAGCAAGATGGCAGAGGTGTCATGTCTGTGGGTCTACTCAAGTGGCAATTAAGCGTTGCTGTGGCGACCCACAATGGTGCGTGCCTTTTCTGATCAGGGCACACCTCACTTCACATAAACTAAGGGTGCAGATTGTTATAGGGGGGCTATGCCCTGCAGAAACAGGGGGAAGCTCTCTTTTCAGGCCAACAGAATGGGAAAAGAGGGGGCATCCATGTTGTTTCAGTGTCAAGATGCAACCATTTCAGACAGTTCAAAGCCATAGCTGCTTAACCAGAGAGGAGGGGGAGGGAGGAGGGAAACATTCTGCTTCTCCAAGTGGGTTTTACAACCACTTTCACTGATGAGGTCTCCCGCTCAGCATGGACCCCTGTTTCTTCTAAGAGACTGTTTGATATTTGAGACACAGTTCTGTGTTCCATGCATGCTGGTGTTGTTGGCTACATGGTAGAGGGAGTGAATGAGAAGGAATGCCCATCATCACAAGAAAATAGCTATTTTTGTCCTCGGTTTCAGAATGGTTGTGGCGGGGGGCAGTCTGCCCTGGATATCCTGAGTCTGTTTACGGAGTAGGAGAACTCTCTGCTAATGTCTTCCCTTCTACAGCTCCATCTTCCTGTTGTATCCTCACAAGCTTGGAAAATCAAGAATATTAAAACAACATGTGCACAAACACATGCACACACGCTGGTTCGACACTCACAGCACACCCCTCCACCCCTCAACCCTAACTGTAATAACTGGTTTCCTCCTGATGTAGCTTTTATTCCAATCTGACTGGTTACATTTGTTAAGGAAACAGGTAGAAGGCAGCCAATGGAGACAAACAATCAGAGGAGCAGAGAAGTACAGCAGAGACTGAGGAAGTTGAGTATGCATTGCATGTTTTGCTTTACAGAGGATATGGTGTGACTGAGCAATAAGGTCATTAGCGATTACCTTGGAAACTGTTATCGCCTTCTTGAAGTCCCTTCCTCCGTAAATTCTAAAGCCCCATGGAGACGGACCAATCAGGTTCACTGTCAGCGCCATCGCGTGACCAGAGGTCTCCACCCACTGCCTGCTCAAACCCTGTAGAGAGAGAGAGAGTGAGTGAGTGAGTGAATGAGTATGTGGGTTATATCATCAGTCATGCTTTCTTTGCTGCAGTGACTATACAAGGTGAATACGTTAGAACTGCTGTCACTTGCAACGTCTGCCTTTTATCTCCTTCTACTTGACTTCAACTTGATTAGATCCTCTTGATTTAAAAGGAATGAGAGGAATCTGAAACCTAAAGGCACATCACTGACATTGTTGAAGTTCCTGCAAACCCTCAGTTTCATGAAGTCATACCACACCAAAAAGTGGTATTATACCACAGGATACAACAGTCAAACATTTCTGTTCAGTAGTTTCACCTACACTACATGACCAAAAGTATGTGGACACCTGCTTGTCGAACATCTCATTCCAAAATCATGGGCATTAATATGGAGTTGGTCCCTCCTTTTCTGCTATAACAGCCTCCACTCTTCTGGGAAGGCTTTCCATTCAATGTTGGAACATTGCTGCCGGGACTTGCTTCCATTCAGCCACAAGAGCATTAGTGACGTCGGGCACTGATGTTGGGCGATTAGGCCTGGCTCGCAGTCGGCGTTCCAATTCATCCCAAAGGTGTTCGATGGCGTTGAGGTCAGGGCTCACGCCGATCTCAACAAACCATTTCTGTACAGACCTCGCTTTGTGCACGGGGCATTGTCATGCTGAAACAGGAAAGGGACTTCCCCAAACTGTTGCCACAAAGTTGGAAGCACAGAATCCTCTAGAATGTCATTGTATGCTGTAGCGTTAAGATTTATCTTCATTGGAACTAAGGGGCCTAGCCCGAACCACGAAAAACAGCCCCAGACCATTATTCCTCCACCACCCAACTTTACAGTTGGCACTAGGCATTGGGGCAGGTAGCGTTCCCTGGCATCTGCCAAAACCAGATTTGTCCGTCGGACTGCCAGATGGTGAAGCGTGATTAATCACTCCAGAGAACACGTTTCCACTGCTCCAGAGTCCAATGGCGGCGAGCTTTACACCACTCAAAGCCGACGCTTGGTATTGCACATGGTGATCTTAGGCTTGTGTGCGACTGCTCGGCCATGGAAACCCATTTCATGAAGCTCCCGACGAACAGTTATTGTGCTGATGTTGCTTCCAGAGGCAGTTTGGAACTCGGTAGTGACTGTTGCAACTAGGGCTGTTGCGGTGACCGTATTACCGCCACACCGGCGGTCACGAGTCATGAAGGCAGTCAAATTCCACGTGACCGTTTAGTCACGGTAATTAAGATTCTCCAAGCTCTGATGCTGCTGCTGGTCATTAGTAGCCTACCAAACGTGTTAACTGCCTGGTACTCCGCACTCTATTGTCCCTCTAATCACTCTGACATCAATGCAAATCTAATCGAAAATCAAAGACTTCATGAGAGCCCATGAGCTCATGTTGCGCAACATTTCTATAGGCTATGCAATTGCGCGAGAAAACAGAGTGATGGATCCCATCAGCTTTGTTTAGGCTAGGCCTACTATATTTATTTCTCAACTTTCCTAATATTAAGCACATTGCTTATATTTATAACAGGAGTATAGCCTACCTGGCTGGCATGAAAATAAACCAAGCGAAAAGCGTCCTCCATTAGCTATTTAAGTGCATAGATTACATGTATTTTTTCCCGCTGACCCTGTTTCGATACAGGTGCATGATAATGGCCCATTCTTAATCAAAACAAATTTCACACATATATTATTTAGTATATGTAAAGACAAGATTCAATCAAGAATAGTCTGATGGGTGACAATATTAGCCTATCACTTGTGAATTATATATTATCACTTGTGAATGATGCTTACCTGGTTAAATAAAGGTGAAATAAAATAAAATAAAAAATAAATGCCAAGCATAAGAAACAATGCCTTTTCTTTGCGACTTTTTCGAATCATAGTCGCACACCTCATGTAGCCTAGCCCATACGCCTATATGTTTTGATAAGGTTTGTATCACAACTAAAGTGGACAAATAACTTCTTAAAAATAAGCACATTAATCCGCTTTACAAGGGGTATAGAGCCTAACTGGCATACATAAGCAACGCGTGAGTTTCAAGTCTCGGGAAGATCATTTTCACCATAAAAATGCACCTTTATAATAAAAGCATGACACGCATAATTGCATTTGCGGTCACTTTTGATAATGGTGTTTTCCGCTAATAGAACATTTGCGCTTATAGCCTCCTACCATGTGCCCATTGCTGCGCTTATAATGTGAAGAAATAACCTAATAGTTTATCAACATTTTAAGCTAAACGTTCTGGTCTGTTGAGTCAGCCACATTGCGTAAAAAATGTTTTTTGATGCTAGTGATTGTATTAATTTGGGAGCTATCGCATCCCACAACTGTCCCAGACTACGTTTGGAATATTTATTTATCGCACAGAATAGGTCAAATTTTTGTACTATGGGGGATAGTAGATTGACATAGGCTAGTGCTTTTGCTGTTCGTTAGGCCTACTCATCTTGTTGGCTGACGAAAAGTAAATGTGGACAGTTCTTCCAATATCTTCAATATGCACCTCGGAATTGGATAAGGACGCGTGCAGTTGCATCCCCGATAAGTCTGTCTTCACTTGTAGCCTGTGAGAAAGACCCGATCATGTGATGGAGAGCCATGTGAGTGAGAGGTTATTCGGAACGCTCAGCACTCAGAGAGAAGGGCACAACGGCCACTGGCCGCAAAAGGCATGGATTTTTTTAGGGTGCATTACGGCCACACAAAGCGGATGCCACCGTAAAATTCTAGGCATTATCAAGTGATTGTCAAATTGTGAATGAGTGACTGATGTACTGTGTACAGCCTGCGCAAAAAACAAAGCAGAGCTCATGCATTTCAAGCAACTTTTTTTCAAATCATCATTAGTCGCATCATGCAGCCTTACAATATACTAAAAATCAAAACATATAGCCCAACGTTTGTAGAACAACTAAAGTTACATTAATAACTCTAAATTAAGCATATAGGAATACCGATTTATTTCTTAACCGCTCAACACAGAATAGCCGTATGCGCACACTCCCTCAAATCGTTTGGAGAAAATATCATTTCTATTTTATTCAGCTTCGTTCAATTGTATTCTTCATACTATCAAATAATGCCACAGAATTCTAAGCAAATCTTGTCTGCTAAATGAACTAGTGTAGCCCACAGCCATTTGGCATAGCCAGATCAGGACCTAACATAAGGACAACTCAGAGTATGCTATTCTGTACTTCTGAAATAGACTACATTTTCTTCATTTCATGCTTCTTTAGACCTGTCTAAAATAAATAATGGATTTATTGTGAAGGTGTAGGCTATATTACATGGATTTATTAGACTTGTAGATGTTCCAAAGGTCTGCATCAGTGGCTTGTAGGCTATGTGTGGAAGCCAGGAGATGCTAAATGTGTTAATGTTAATTAACGGTCAATTACCGTGAGACCGACAGTTATTTGTTGACAATCACCGGCTGACAAGATTTCGGGACCGGCACAGCCCTAGTTGCAACCGAGGACAGACGATTTGTACACGCTACGCACTTCAGCACTTGGCGGTCCCGTTCTGTGAGCTTGTGTGGCCTACCACTTCGTGGCTGAGTCATTGTTGCTCCTAGACGTTTCCACTTCACAATAACATCACTTACAGTTGACGGGGGCAGCTCTAGCAGTGCAGAAATTTGACGAACTGACTTGTTTGAAAGATGGCATCCTATGACTGTGCCACGTTGAAAGTCACTGAGCTCTTCAGTAAGGCCATTCTACTGCCAATGTTTGTCTATGGAGATTGCATGGCTGTGTGCTCGATTTTTTACACCTGTCAGCAACGGCTGTGGCTAAAATAGCTGAATTTACTAATTTGAAGGGGTGTCCACATCCTTTTGTATATATAGTGTAACGCTGTAATTCATGTTTTACCATGGACTTACTTCCCTCGTAGTTTAATAGTGATCATAGTACAGGATGCTGCTAGGAAGTGTCTGTTTTACAGTAAAGTCTATGCGTCAGCTGGGTACAGTATACTGCTGGCCCTCATAACTCTGCCCTTCTCATGCACAGTGTTTTTCATTTGCACATGTGCTTCTGTTGAGACACTGACAGCTCTCCCGCTCTTTGGTAATTCATGCTGTGGTGAGGAGATGAGGAGGAGGAGGAGGTGGAAACCCCAGCCCGACCGGCAGAGACACACAGGCCCCACCACAGTGCAGCATAGTTTCTCTTTCTTACTCTCTCACACACACACTGCTGCTGCTGCTTCAGTAGCGAGGCACCTCAACTACTCAGCAATGCCCTTGTTAATACCTAGTTAAGTGCTACCACGACCATACTATTATTCACAACACACCATGAAATAAGGGGAAGCACTGTTGCAGAAAACAGAGTGACAGAAGTCACTCATTATTAAGTATATTTATTGTAGGTTCAATGAATTCAACTTCAGATATCTGACAGCAGCCTATATTGCATAACATCAAGGTAAATATAGAAACGCAAATACTTCTTGAGAAATTAAGACGTTATCTGGTTCAAGTCTCTCTTGAAATCTGTTGGAGTGGACTTGTGACAAAACATGTTTGACCTAGAAGAAAATGCTGGCAGATCCTACGACAAAAAGCTGATGTTTCCTGATTCTGTCTTCACAAGTCCCTGTTATGTAACTATTCAGCATTACTTTGTATGTAGGTCAGAGTTTGAGACAAAACATACTTGGACAGATCAATAACTGAACCTTGGTGCACCACGTGGCCACGGGCCTAGTCTTATCATCATAGGCAAAGAATCTGAAATAAGAACTGATCTTCCTGTAAATATGATCAGTCTAGTTCCATATACCATAGTGTTAGAATTGAATAGGTAATCTACCGTTAGGGCCCAAGGCTGGTTCCACAGCCATCCAGGCAGAAACAGAGCAAACAGTGAACCCAGTCAGGATCTGGGACATCTCTCCCTCCCTACACTGGCCCATTTTTGCCATCTACAGCCGTCTGTCTGTACATTCCACAAGGGTTTG